CTATGTTCAAGCCTCTTAAGTGTCTTTTTGGCCCTGATTGGCTGTTTTCTTTTGGGTACAATAGTCTCTTCCAATTGCCATTAGGAGCATTTTTAACACATTATCTGTCTCATACGTACTACTGTCAGGCTACAGTTAAAGTTTCAGCAAATGACAAAAAGTTATTTTTATAAAAACCTACTGCAGCTGTAAGGGACTGTTCAGAGCTACAGAAAACAAATCACATTAAAAAAAAAAAACATCTGATCATGTTTCTATTTTAACTTTTACTTTAGTTACTAGGAGGGCAAGTAAACATCTTTCCCACTAGGTGGCACAAAAACAGATGACAGGTTCACCACTTCTTTTTTACAATAAACATAAAACAGCTGACATTAATGAATTTGTCATCATTTTAATAACATCTCAATTCAATTACATTTAACTTAAATAAATTTAATAGTCATACATCCAACAACAGTGAAACATGTCGATAGATTTAGTCAGGTTAGCTTTTCACTGAACTTAAAAGGTGCATGCACCACTTCTGTTTCACACTCCATCACCAGGAATGTTTCTCCCCACCATATCATGTGACACAGGATTCATTTATTCATTCAGAAATCTGGATTTGGTCCACTACAGTTGTTTGGGACTGAGTTTATATTCATGGAAATATCCTGGACTATGTATGAAAACTTATGGAAGCCCTGAAAGCAAAGGTTTTTTTTAAAAATTTTCGCATGATAATTTTTCTAAGGTTTTAAAAATGTTTTCATCTGTGAAAGATGTGAATTTCTTTTCACATTTTTCTAAGCAATTTTTTTTTTCCTTCTGATTTTTTCTTTTCACATTTTCACAGATTACCCATGTTGACAGGTAGAAAAAATTTGTTTTGTTTTACCGGTTTTCACAGATTTTTTTCGAGGAAATAAATAATTTTTTTTCTACCCTGATCTTTTTTTCACGTTTTTACAGATGAAGAGAACTAAACCAATTTTTACAGGTGAAAAACAATTCGATCATGAGAAAAGAAAATGTTTCACTTGCCTTTCATGGCTTCCGTAAAAACTACGTTTAAATAAAAATCACAAAATGAAGGCACAGCCAAAGCACAGAAGTCATCTCGACTTCAGTGCTTATGGGTTTGTGTTTTTTGGAATGCATAACAAGAAGAATTCTTGTGGATGGGAGAACAAATATAATAAATATTGTTTAAAACAATATTTATTGTTGTTGGAAATTACTAAGTGCCACGCTTTTTCTTTCGCAAACCATCTTCTCAACAGTGTTACTGTGCGGCCCAAACTGATTCACTGGTAAAAGGCCACTAATCAATACAATAAGGACGTATGACACTTGTAGAGGACCTCGAGTTATTGTCATTAAAATCAACACATTAAACACTGAAACTAAGCTGCTTTACACCAACTGATGGCTACAGTCAAATTCTTACTGACATCATTGTGCTTTATTACGTGTTAGTGTTCATTAGTATCACAGTGCTCCACCCAGTCTGGGTGTATAAAGGACATCTTTAACAGCAATAACATGGCAGCACTTGAATTATGTTCCCTCACATATATAAAAGGGGGCTTTTATCTGCATATCAATGAGGTAACATTACAGGCACACACTTCAAGTAATTTCAGGTATGAGGGAGAGGGATGCACATGTTACACATTATCACATGTGATTTTAAAATGGTTAAAAAAAATCTAGGAGCCATTCAAATCTTTGGGAAAACTGTGGCTGTACAGGCTATATTATGGGATGTAATGCTAAAACATGAGCCAACATTTCCTGTGGAATGCTGTCTAAGGCAAAGGATGTTAAAAATGCTATCACATCTTAACAGTGTTCTGCTACGTTCCCATATCTGCCTGACGTTTACAAAAAACAAACATTTCATGGTTTTTGCATATAGAATTCCACATTTCTGCTTATGAAATGTGCTCAGGCTTTATGTGAAATTACAAAAATGTACAAATGTGATCTCAAACATATCTTCTGTTGGTAACAAAACAAATTCATATTCTATATGCTTTGGATAAATTGAGGTATTTGAGAATCAGGATGATGGTGTTGGTTCTGTAATGGACATGGAGTTTAAAAGGGCTCAACATTCCATCAGACAGGGGATCTAGTGGTCTCGAGAGTCCGTAATCCGTTTCAAATAAATTAGACATGCTAAGCTGTTAAACTGGGTCACCTTGATTGTCTGGCATGTACTTACAACACCGGCAAACAAATTTGAACAGGACAAGGCAACTGAGACGTGGATGTCTTAGTTTTTAGCATAAAGCAAGGTGACTGTTTAGATGAGATGCAGGTAAACATTTGTACTTCACGTGGACTCTCCATAAACTGTCGAAAACTCTTTGGAAACATGTCAGGCTGGTTTGGCCGTTACGAGCTGAACAAACATAGTCACACTATGAGAACAGACAGTACTGACTCAAAACACTGCACACACTCCTCTTACAAAATGACAATGGATGACTTAAAATGGTGATGGTCAAGAATTCTGTGATTCCAAAAAATCATGACAATAATATTAATATAAATGACACACTGTTACGCAAACCAATCACATACTGGCACTAACAACCTATATTTAAAAAAAAGAAACAAGAAAAGACGGGCACTTACAAAGATATTTCAAATACAAAATGACCAGAGACGACTGAATTGTCTTTACCTTAAAATAAGTTACTGCCCTACAGGAACTCTAGGAGGTCCATCTCAAAGGGTCCAAGATGGTTTCTTTGTGTGATTCAGAGCAGTGCTGTGCTTTATTCAGGGCAGTCATATAAGATGGGAGCAGGTGTAAACCCATGAATAAGTAGGGGTTCTGTTTATGCAATAGATCCAGCTGAGACGTGTGTACTGTAAAACATATAAAGCTAATGAAAGCCAGACAGCTAACAGTATTATGGAGTGCTGCAAACACATCCCACATAAACACTCGGTCAGTGAGGCACTTTTTAACTTCATGGGGTTTTCATCAACATATCCCATGACGGAAAAACTACACAAACAATGTGTCAGTTCTGAGGATGAAATATCTTATGTAAAAAGCATTGATGACATGGGTTTCCTGATTCATTTAATGGCCAGCGTATTGGTCTTTATATGATCCTGTTAATTACACTTAATGCCTCAACATCTCACAAACTCCCCTCACCTAGATTAATTGTACTTCTTCCATCACATCATTTAAAAGATAAAATCTTACAATACAATACTTGCAAGTGCACTGGTGGCGCTATACAAATAAAATTGAAATGAAATGTAATCATTCTTTATATCCATACTGGCCAAAGAGTAACCAATAACACAATGGCATGAAAGTATTGTATTGGGCCATATTCACACCTAATCAGGCATTGCGGAGATTAGCGCGGGGTTGTGCAGCGGTGTAATTTTTAAATTTTCTTTGATTTACCTGCTGTCTCTACCACCCTCTTTGCATTTACTACCAAGCTCACTCGACCACCGCAGCATGTGGAATTAGGGTTGACCGGTACGTGACCAGAAATGTAGAAGTCGATAAAAAAAATACCAGTGAAATTCCACAGTTCTCAATATTCGATAACACAGTAAAAATGTCCCAATAGTTTTTCTGCCCCCATCCCAATTAAATTTTTTTGCATTATTTTCCAATATTATTATTTTCCTTAATAATACAGATGAATAGCTCTGTATTGCATCAAGAAAAAAAACTACCTGCATCCAAGCTGTTCCTTAATGTTTCATTATACTTAAAATAGCCAAACCTCAAATCTTTTGCACGGATTATGTTAATAAATTACTCTTACTTGCTTTTGGTTCACAGGGCTTTTGTTGCACTTGCAGTGGCGTGATCAGTGTGCGACTCTCCACCACTCTCTCTATCGCCTCTGACCACCCGTGATTGTGTTTCACTGTGGGTGGGGCTGAGCGCCCTAACACACAGAGCACAGTGACACAGAGCACAGTGGCAGAGAGACAGCGGAGCACTGTGCACGAAAGATTTGTTAGTAAATCACCTGTACAGCTGCACTCTTCAACATGTTCTTCCTGTGGCATTTAATGGCCGACTAGAATATGTGTGGCCGTATTTGCTGCTCTCTTATAGAACTGCATCCTTGGTACTGTAGAAAAACGAGTACAGTTTTTTAGAATTCTGGCATTGACTTGGTACCAGTATCGGTTTTTGTGATATCCCTTGGGATGTGTTTCTCGAAATTCCATTTAGACGTAACTTTTTTGCCGCAAGGCTGCTGCGTTATTTTTTTGGCATGCTCTGCGGCACCCTCCCAAATGAATGGTGATTTTGCCTGATTTGGTCTGAATAAGGCTTCACCGTAAGATTAACGTTAAAAACGTTCTCTTCTGGTCTCTTTTTACGATTGTGTGTTTTCAATTGAACACAACACAGTCCAAAATCACACCCCATTTACTTTGTTACTATATTAGATTTACTGTCTGCCATTTTATTTTAGTGCTCACATTCTGAGTGTCAAATTGATACACTACTCCTTAAATTCCAACAATGGAACAAAATAGTACTTAAATAATCCCACAATGCAATACATGGCATTTTATAGATGCAAAAATGAGCAGTTGACTGACACAACACCTCTAGTGACCAAGTGTCCAAAATCGGATTTACCGCTCACTATAATGTAAACTAATGAGTGTGTATTCTATAGGGAGTAGTGAATGAGGGATTTGTTGTACATCGCATGTAGACAAGTCCATCAATGACAGGAACCAGTGAATAATATTAACCTGTTTGTGGAAACAACTAGAACATGCATGGGTAGACAGCGGCTCTGCACACTGACTGGAATCCTACTCATGCACTGTTGGTAGGAACATGGTGGTGGCAGTTAAGGATTTACTGTGCTCCGACTAATTTAACTGCCACCAGGTGTAGGCAGCTAGAAGGCGACTATTAGCATTAAACCAAGGCCATGTAAAGACACGACACTATCACAGTAGCACACATTGCCATGCCTTCAGTCTCTCTTTTCTTTTTATATTATATTCTCTTACATTTACTGATTTTTGTGGTTCCATCTTCTCTACAAAAATAACACATTTTACATATTGGATCTATTAACTACCTGATTCTTTTGTTACACAGAACGACTGGATCCAGTCACAGCATTGTGCATGGGAGCTACCCCACTCTATCTTCAAATTGCACACATACATCTGCACACATCTGTACAGACTCAAAACCTGTGGGTGCATGGCGTCGTCAGTGTTCCTAATGGAGATAACTAGACTCATCTCTTCTTTGACTGCTGCCATTTGGGCTTTCAATGTACAGTTCCAGCCTGGCAAAAGTTGAATTCCAGTTGTTTTTTTTTAGCAAAAAATGTGAGCAGGTACCAATAAAACACCTGTTCCCCATGCAGATACTGCCATAGTCCTTAAGCCTTTTCTATAATCAGATTCAACTGATTATGTCATTGTAAAACACCCAACCCTGGTGCCGTAGACTTTCTGGACATTCTACTTAGTGATGGACTTCACATCTATGATCTGTCTTTTGACGCACCCCCTGCCCCCCAAGGAGCTGTTAGTACAGTAGCTGGGGGTCAAAGTGTGTATGTGTGCGTCTTGTGCGTGTTATAAGTAGAAGACAGGAAGGATCACAAGGCTGTCTCCTGAACCGTGTGAGCTGTTAGTTGGCATGAGGGCAGAACGCTCCTCGTCTCCAAGTCTTCGTCCTCTGTTTGTGCTCTGTCGCTTTCTGTCTCTTTGTCCTCTGTGACCGTGTCCTCTTTGCAGTAAGCTGCTCCGTTGCGGTCTCTCTTGGCCATCTGATAAGGCTGTGTGTTGATTTCTTTAGGCTGGTCAACAAGGATAATATTGAAAGCTCGGGTTACGGTAAACAAAAGAGGAAAACACACAGGAGGAGAGAGGAGAGAGGAAGAGAGAGAGTGTAAATGTGAGGTTACCTTCTGAGCCAGAGGAGTGATGCAGCAGAGCTTCTCTCTGTAACGCTCAGGCAGAAAGAAGAGCAGTGTGCCCAGGACTGGAAACACTGTGCCGGGGGTCAGCTCCTTCTCCTTCATAGGTCCTGATGTTGAAAGATACCATATAACATATTTACCTTGAATCAATTCTGCCTTTAAACTAAGTAAGAGTGCTATAGGGTAATAAGAACAGGACAAAATGAAAGGACCAGAATAAACCAGAGTGACATCACTCTAGTGGAAAATGACATGAAGACAAACTACGGCCTAACTACAGTAATATCAGAGTGTATATCATACAGATGTTGCTAATCTGAGAATCTGTTAACATTTGAATGTATTTATTTGGCACACTATAGCAAGCTACCGAAATCTTACTACCTAACATACATGAAGTATTAAACCACTGGTTCCCAACCCCGGGATCGGGGCCCCCACTAGGGGTTGCCAAAGCCTCACATAGGTCACAAGGCCCTCTAGATTTTAAGGCATGTAGGGAAACTTACACAGTATATTCACAGGAAATAATCTATTGTTACTTTTATGCATTGAATATAATATAAAATATCCATAAAATGTGTAATTTAGTCAGGGGTCGTTAGTTCAGTCAATGATAGAGAAGGGGCCCCTTGAGGAAAAAGGTTGGGAACCGCTGTATTACACAATTGATGAAAAAAGGGTGGCCCTTTCATTTGGGTGAAAGCTGCTCCCCCAGCGCACATGCTAAAAGAAAGTGACCATAATGTGTGTGCACTAGCATCTTTATCTGACAAGTTTGGCCAGCTGCCTTCACACATACAGTAACTAACATGAAAATAATAGCTGATGTGACGGCTTTGGCGGCTTTAAAATATAATGGACCTGATAGTTTCAGATGTGATAAATCTGTAAATCTCACATACATCTGTATGGGCGTCACATGACCTGTGTTTCCAAGCAGTCATTGTTATTTTCACAATTCCTAGTGTTCAGATGGCAGTTACTAATATCATTATTAATGGGATATAACTGGTTTTGAAGCTGATGCGACAAGTCAAAGTGTGTGTACCTGTTAGTAGGCTGACTAGCAGGCCCACCACCACCACAGTGGTTGAGTTGTGAGCACTGTACCACATGTAGGACAATGAGTAGAGTGCCTCCACACCTGTCGGCCTGAAGGAAAGAGTAAGATTAAAGACGCAGTGACAAATTATTTCTTTATAATCTGTTATTACGTGACTGAGCATCTGCAGTCTCTCTGTGGTGTTCAGTGAAAGTACTGGAACCAACACATGAGTATAATGTAAGCTCTTGGGATTCATGTGTTACCTTGGCTTAGCTGCGCTGACCAGTGTAGTCATGACAGTGGTGGTCATGTTGTCGAACAGGGGCAGAGCGGTGGTGTTGAGTGGTGGCAACGGGGTGGGGCCGGGCAGACGCATCACGAAGCTGCCGATGCCGATCCAGAAGGCCATTGCGAGGCCTGCTGCTAACCCAACCAATGCACCCTGAGGAGGTAACAGAGGAGAACAGTTGGGTTTGTTTAACAGATCAGAACAAACGTGTAATCATGTTTGTGTTTCTGTTAGCATATTGAGACAAAGGTATATAGGTAAGGAAAGAGAATCAAATCACAAATTAAATGACTTACTGTAGGGTTTGCCCAGGGAAAGAACATTCCCAGACAGAAGACACCCAGCAGAGGACCACCCACCATCCCAAAGATGCTGAAGGCTGCCTGAGGTCACAGAGGATAGAGAGCATGGCACCTTCTTCAGCTGCTGATAACGTGTCTGCTAGTTAACTGTACCGAACGGCTGCATAATAACAAAAAACTACAGCTGATTTTTCTAACTAAAAGTAGCCACGTTTTTACTACGTATTTACTTACAAACATTTTATAACCTTCAAATTAAATAACTTCTCTTCACGTGCAACTCAAAGCAATAGTTCACTACCTGCAGCACAGATCCCATTAGAGAGGCAAGATAGGCCATAGCCAGACACACCAGGCCGTACACCAAAGCTGTGGACCAAGCAGATGACAAAGAAATATTTATTAGTTACACCTGCTACAGCTGCCAACTTACTGTTGGCAGCAAGTTATATACTACACTCAGTAGGTTCAAGTGTGTACTAAATTAAGCAGCATTAATCAAGTACTGCTTGTTTTTAATCACAGTATGGGTTGCACACTACAGATTTCATATCAAGTTTTTAAGAAAGTCCTGTATCTAGAGCCCCTTTTACACTGGACAAAAACCCACTAACATTTGGCTTTTGTCTTCAGTGGGAAACGGTACAATTGGCATTTATTCCTTGGTCTAATGACTCTGCAGTAAACAGGTATTTATCGGCTGCAGCTCTGATGAGCAGTGATGGAAACCCTTTTTTCCTGTGTATCCGTGGCATCGAACATTACACATCAGAGAAAAACAAACAATAAAAAAAATTTAAAAAACAGAAAAGAAGGGACAACCTTAACTTAGTGTGAAACTAGTCAACAGCCAATTGTCAGTGGGTTTACCTGTATTTTCAAAACCTGCATATGTACCCAAATCAATGGTGGAAATGTACAATTTGAGGAAGAAAAACAATTAAAGCACTTGTCTTACCAAGTCCCTTGGACAGCAGCGTGGCTTTAGCTTCTGTCATGTTTGGAAAGTGTGGTTTAATCAGGTCCTCCATGGTTACTGTTGCTAGAGAGTTGAAGGCTGAGGAGATGGTGCTGGAAGAAGACAGAAAAATGGGATTGAGTGGGACTCTGCAATACATTATATGGTTATCTGAGCAGCACAGGCCTTTAGGACAGAGCATGGAGGCCGTAGTTATCAGGAACTTTCTGAAAGTAATAAATGCCATAAATCATTTCATGTCCAGCTGATGGTGGAAATGCACTCTAGGGCAACACAGTGAGAGTTCCCATTACATTTCAAAAGGAGGAGAGACTCACTAATAGATTTAACCCTTTAGGCGCCAGGT